TGTTACATTAATTCTCCCTTCACAGAGGAGCTGGGGTTTAAGCTGAACCCTAAAGAGTGAGATCTGGATATAGAGGGAAGGACCACTCATGGGGACAGTCATTTTCTTAGCTTAGAGGTAGGGGCAGGGTAGCTGTATTTTAGTAGAGCTGGGAAAGGTATGATGGGAGACAGAAGCATGTCATGGTCAGATTGTGAATTCTGAGAGGCTGAGGGCCACCTAATACAGGAGTGGCTTGAGGTCTAGATGTAAAATGAGATGCTGAGATTTGGTGGAAGATTCACTTTTCTAGTGAGTTCTGTATATCTGTGAAGGAGGCAATTAAAATATTTTGTCTCTTTTTTAAATTTCATTCTCCCACATAAACTACAATCCCAGCTCCTCAGAACAGAAGTTTCCCATTTTTCCCCTTGGGCCAAAATCATAACCTTTTGGGGCTGGGATTTAGCTCAGTGGCACTGTGCCTGCCTTGCAAGCACAAGGTCTTGAGTTCGATCCCCAGTGCTGGAAAAACAAAAGTGTAAAATCATAACCTTTTAGTATCCAGAACTATTAGGAGAAAGTATAATTTCAAATTATCCCTGGAGTATCAGTTTCATATTTAAGCAAAATCTACAGACCAAGGACTATAATGCTTAACATGGACTGAGCAGGGCTGTGAGACCTCCTGGTCTTTGGACTGAGAAGGTGCCACAGAAAATCAAGTTAGCTTCAGAAACTAAGACAATCAGTTTGACCTGAGGTCAGTAAGGTAGGGTGCACACTTACAGTCCCAGCACTAGGGAGGCTGAGGCAGGAAGATCCCTGCAAGTTCAAGGCCAGCCTAGGCTATACAGTGAGTTCAAGGCCAGTCTGAACTATATATTGAGATTTTGTTTCAAAAAAAAAAAAAGAGAAAGAAAGGTAGGGGTGATAACACAGAGGCTGATTAGAGTAGCCTTCAGCTCATAATCCCTTCTGAAACAACCAAGTCTTTCTGGGTAGAAAAAGCTCAGGCAGGGAGCCCAGCAGCATAGGAGGAGGAGAATGTGAGAATAAGGCACGAAACGCTCCCACCACTCAGCCGCTTTCCGGCTCCCACTGATCCTTACTGTTCCTTGCCAACTAAGCCAAAGAACTGACTACAGATTCAAAATTTAAATAAGACTTTGCCACTTCATGTGCATTGCAGGAGAAGGGGAGGGCTCACCACCCAGTAATTGGGCAATCACAATCCAGTACTGTACACACTGAAATTACAGACTCTTCCACTTGAGTACCCTCTTCACAGACTGAAGTGCCTCATGTCGGCAGAACGGCCTGGTGACACTCAGGAAATTGAAGAGACCTCACAATACTTAGCCAGAGAGGGGAAGGTCTGCATTGCAGTCCTACTCAGCAAATCTAAGAGAATATTTAAAAGCAGCCCTAGTTTTCACCCATTAACACATTAGGGAGCTATCAATGTTTATAGAGACTTTAACTTCAGTAGACCCTTGACTTATGAACTCAATTCGTTCTCAAGGGCTGGTTGTAAGTCAGGTTGGTCGATTGAAGCCTCAGACTCCTCTACACAACCTTCCAAGTCTCTCTCCTATATACAGGCAGATCTCAGTGTCCTTAGAGAGACACTGGCCCAGGATTTCTCAATTAACCCCACACAGGAAGGACGTTGTAATGTTCCTTTCAGAGCTCTTTAAGGGTTAAATCCGTATCTGAGACTATCTGGAAGCATGAGTGGCCGGCATTCGGGTCATAACTCAAGACTTTGGTCATAAGTTAAAACTAAAATTCTGGTTGTATCCCAAGTTGCATGTCAGGCTGGTCATAACTCAGGGATCCACTCTTTCAGTATAGAGCTGTCTTTTTAAGGAGAGGCTGATCTCTTTATCACCTGGAGTCATAAGGGTTTGCACTGGGCAGCAAACAATGGAAATGGAAAAGAAGGTTGTGAGATAGATTAGAGCCTGGCAAAAGCTGGCTAGGGAAGTAGGTGTGACCTGTTAACTAAGGGATATTGGAAACAGGTGCAGAACAATTTCTAAAACCCTCACAGGTTTTCCATAGGATGGCCTAGTCAGCCTGAGGCATGGGATCCCAGCACCACCTCTCAGGACCAGGACCCGTATGTATAAGCTCTTGAGAGTTTCCTCGAGATTTAGACAGCATAAAAGGACACACTGTAGATCCCTAGTACCAAAAAAAAGAAAAAAGACACACTGACACCATTAAGACTTTGCTATCCTAACTTTGTAGGATGGCTCATGTTGTGTTTCCCCATCACAACGTGTACTTTTATCTTTTCTGTCTCCCTCTTTTTCTCTTTACTCACCCCAAGCTCCCTCTGCAGGGCCAGTTTCTCTCCCACTCTTCACTTTCACTTTCTCGAATAAACTTTACCACTGCTTTTTGCTTCTTTCATCCAATTCTTTCTTGGAGACAAGAGCCTGGAATCCAACCCCAGAAGGAGAGGCAAACATCCCGAACCTGGTAATGTTTAGTTGGCGAGCCACATTTTAGAAACAAGCTACCCGATAATAGTTGGATGTGAACGTTTGTGAGGTCTTTTGTTTTGTTTTATTTGTAAAATGAAGTCTTACGAAGTTCCAGATTGACATCAGACTTGGTATCCTCCTGACTCAGCTTCCCAATTAGTGGGACTACAGATGTGTGCCACCATGCCCACTTTGTGGATATGAAATAAGTAGTGAAGGATTTGGAGCTGGGGAGGCCCTGACCTTGCTTCCTAGTGCACTAAGAACATAAAAGCATTTGAAGAAGACTTCCTAATGCCCTCATTTCCCTATCAGCCAGCCCACACTGTGCCCGCCACCGAACCTTCCCTCCTAAAAGTCAATGGGTATCCATGTGGCTAAGCCCAGTGCCTACTCTACATCCCAGCTCCCACCTCCTCAATCTACTCCAATTGTTTCCTCTCTTATTTGTATCAACATTTTTTACTCAGCTTAATAATTCCTATCACAGAATGATGCAAGACATCCCATCTTAAAAAGCACTCCATGGGAACCCACATTCCTCTCCCCTAACAATCCACTTCTTCTTCCCTTTACCCTTTGAACCTATTCCTCTCGTGCTTACCTCTACCATCCACCAAAAGCAGCTGTATCAAGGTCACCACCGTTTTCCATATTGCCAAATCCATGAGGTACATCTCAGTCCTCATATGCTTGGCCTCTCCACAGGATGTGACAGTTCGACTCTCTATCCTTGAATCATTCACTTCTCTTAGCGTCTGAAATAACGCATTTTCTTACACCCCAAGAGCTGTTTCTTCACTCTCCTTTTCTGAAGCCTCTTCCAGACCTCTAATTACTGAAGTGTTGCAGGGCTCAGTAATCCGATTCTACTCTTCTCTCTTTACTCCCCTCCTTGGTGCATCGAGTTTCAGCCTTAAATATTATTTATATCTACCAAGAATTTCCAAAAGAAATTTTTTTTCCCATTCTGGAGCTCAAACACAGTGCCTGATGTATTCTAGGCAAGCACTTTACTTCTGAGCTACACCCCCAGCTCTTGGCAGTTGGTTGCTTGGTTTGTTTGTGGTGATGGGGTTCAAACCCAGGCTGTGTTCCCACTAAGAATGCACTCTTCCACTAAGCTACACTCCCAGCCCTCCAGTTTCTTCTCTAAACCCTACATATGCACAACTTCCTAACCTATATCTCCATTCAATTCCAAAAGGCATCACAAACGTAACATACTCGAAACCAAAAACTGAATATTCCTCCTTAACAAATTGCTCTTTTCCTAAGCTTCCCTGTTTCCCCATTTTTAGTACATGGAAATTCTGTTCTTTCAGTTACTCAGGCCAAAAACATTAGAATCATCCTTAAGTCTTCTTTCTCTCACATCCCACATTCAATGCATGGCAAAATTGTTTTTGGTCTCCAAAATCCATCTAGAATTCAACTACTTCTCACCGCCTCCACCATCACCCTTATCCAACTTACTATTGGGCCGGGAATTTAGCTCAATGGTTCCGCCGCCTGCCTCACAAGCACAAGGACCAGAGTTTGATCCCCAGTAAAAAAAAAAAAAACCACAACAATTTACCGTTAATTCTTCCCTAGATTATAATAGTAACTTCCTGTCATCTGGATTATTGTAGTAAACTGCCTCTTGCCAAATCCTACACAAAAGGTCAAGCAAAATAAGAACTGAGATATGACCAGTGGACTTGGCAGTGTGAAGGTCCACCTTAAGAAGAGTCAAAAGAACTGGATCCCGACAGAATTGGATTCACTCTGTGGTGAACTTCTTTGTGTTGTCTATAATGTATTCTCCTTCTCAACCATGTAATAAAAAAATTCCCATTTCTGAGCCTTTGCATTTGCCATTTCTTCTGACTGAACCCCTCTTTCTCCAGACAGTCACGTCTGCTTATCTTACCTGGATTTAGGTACCTGTTAAACTAAGCTTCCAGATTTCCTTTATAAAGCTATTTAAAATAGCATCTGGGCCGGGGATGTAGCTCAGTGGCGCCGCGCCTGCCTGGCAAGCTCAAAGTCCTGAGTTCGATCCTCACTACCGCAAAAAATAAATCTCCCATCCTCCATTCCTGTATTTTTTTTTCATTATTTCCATTCATAGCATTTATCACTATCTGAATGTATTTATTTACTGGATGACGCCCCAGCTTCTCCGCACTCTGGAATGTAAGCTCCATGAGAGCAGGGACTTTGTTTTGTTCGCCACTGCAACCCCATCATATAACCGTGCCTGACAAAAGTGGATACTCAGTAAATATCTGTTCAATTAATAAATAAGCGACTTTCATCTCAAACGCAGAGTTAATGACCAATAACGTGCCCTCACTCTCAACTTGAGAGCTCCGGAAGGCAGAGGTTACATTCTAGGGCTCCCTAGCACGCACAGATAACACCTAACGGCCCCTCTCTTAGAAGACATTCGGTAACGCTTCCGCCCTCGCTCAACTCTCACTCAAATCAGGGAAAGGAGGGGCCGAGGGTCTGTGTCATCAGCGTGCGCCGGCCTGCCCCGCGACGCGCCAGCGGCTGGCGCAGCCCTTCGCTCGCCCGGCCTCCCCCTCCCTGGTTCCGTGCTGTGGTTCCGCCATGGAATCCAACAAGGATGAAGCCGAGCGCTGTATCAGCATCGCCCTCAAGGCCATCCAAAGTAACCAGCCCGACCGGGCGCTCCGCTTCCTGGAGAAGGCGCAGCGGCTGTACCCGACGCCGCGAGTTCGCAGTGAGTGTGAGGCGCGGGAGAGACAGAGGGGGACATTAGAACTGATGGGGGGAATAAGAGAGCGTACCGACTGGAGCATTTGGCGGAGGGGGAGGGGTGGTGAGGCGCGGCTACGCCTGCGTACTGAGGCACGCGGTGGCTGCTGGGAGATGTAGTCTTTCGGTCTCGCGCGTCTGCAGGACTCAGGACAACCTGAAGACCCGGGTATCCCAGACTTCAGCCTTCGGTGTATTTGAGGAAAGCTCTGAGATGTGAGGTTTTCTGGAAGTAGATGCGCTGGCAGACCCGGCTAAAGGAACTTACGTGGAAGCGAAATCGAACTACTTTTCCCAGAGGGCCCTTCGGTGGCCCAGGGCGAGTTGCCGGCCTGGGAAACATTATAGTTCAGGAAAATAAACATAACTCTGCTAAGCAAGGAAGAGGGTTCTAAAGAGGGAAAGATCCAACCTTCGGCACCGTGGAAAGGGGGCTCCATAGCTTCTGCCCCTCGCACGTCTCCTGACGAAGCCCACAGACCACTCTAGCTTAACACCCAGTCCCCTCCGCCACTTTGGGTCCTAAGACCGCCCTCCTCACCCCCTCCTGCAGCCTCTTCACCTGCCAGTGAGACGCGGGTCTGATGGCTTATGAAAGATGCCATCTCAGCCCCCCAACCCGCCTTCGCTCCCACCAGGCCATCAGTAACCTATCACCATACTCCTGAGGAGCCAGGATTGAGGGGTCCTGAAGCAGGGACGGAATGTTGAGGTTGTCTCCATTATTCATCCCCTCGCTTTACCCAAGAGCACCTCCATTCTTATTTCTTGAACCTAAATTTGAAGTTTTTCTTAATCCAAGCTGGAAAAGAAAAAGACACGGTGTTTGTGCCTGTGATTACCACTTACCAAACTACAGATAACAGGCGCTCAGAAGACCCAGCTCTCATCCTGACTGCTACTCTGTGACCTTTCGGAGCTTGGGTTTCCTCATCTGCAAGATTAGAGTGTTGGCACAGGTAGTGTGAATAACAGTAATACGTGTAAGGCTTTTCAGGGTAGAAAGCTCTTTCACATGCATTTTGTTACTTGAGCCTGCCCTATCAGAGAGACAGGCAAAGATCATTATCTTTGTTCTATAGATGAAGAAACATCTCTGAAGTAAGGGACTTGCCCAAGATTACACAGCTAAAAATTGGAAAGCTCTGTGACTATAAATATTCAAAAACTGAAAGGAAATGAAAGCCGCAGTCATCCTCCTCATTTTCCCTGCCTAGTTATGAAGTGGAGAAAAGGGGATACTGGCAGGAGAGGTGACCCGGAACACCTGAACTTTTCCTCCCTCCTGGCTCTGCAGGTTAATCTTTGGCCTGTTGGCTGCCTCCTGCAGAGGGTTTCAGTTTGTATTTGCCAGGAGTTCTGAGGTAATCTGCTGGAGGACTTCCTATGAAATAAGTCACTCTTAAGTGGAGAGCATGGGGTGTGGGTGGCCTCCAGCTTTCAGAATTCCATTTGAACGGGGGCTTCGGAGCAGGCAGCCACGAAAAGATGGTGACACTAGGGCCTGTGGCATATATCAGTAGGCCTCTGTGCCAGGAATGGTGTCCTTCCTGGAGCTGAGGCACTGGAACTTGCTCAGGGACAAGAGTGACCTGCTGCATATTTGTCATATTTGTGCTCTTCTGGAAAGTGTATGTTTCATGCATCTGCATAAACTTCATTTTGTACCACCTGCAGCCCTGCACTGAGCTGCCAGGAAACCTGGGGTTAGTATAGGCCTGAAACAGGGAAAAAGTCTTGGTTAAAAAACATTAAGTACTTGTCTACTTTGGAGGCTTTGGGTTTGAGCTCATTCCAGACACAATTTTTGTTGAAAACCTTTTTCATTTTGTTTTGTTCTGTTTGCAAAGTCTTGTGCTTGGTGCTAAGTGGTATAGCAGGAGTGGCAAAGTGTGATCCCTTGCCTCAGAGACCTTACAGTCCAGTAAAAGAGACAGACTTACAGGAAACAGTATTGCAAGACAAAAGATAGTAACTGTGACCTAACAAACATTAGACACAGTGCTAGATTCTAGGGACTTAAGGATGGTCATGAAAAATCCAGTCCCTGCCATCTGTGGGTTCACAGAATAGAGGGGGGAAAGAGGCCGGTGCAAGGAGGGTGTGTTGAGCAATTTCCTAAATTCTAAATAGTGTAGTGGATGCTGTAGCAAGGGCACACTAACGTTACCTCACTGGGTGTGCTAGCTCACACCTGTAGTACAAACATTCAGAAGGCTGAGGCGGGAGGATTCCCTGCAGTTCAAGGCCAGCCTGGGCCACATAGTGAGACCCTGTCTCAAAACAAACAAACACCTCCGCCTGCCTCAGCAAGCCTAACGACCCAAGTTCGATCCCTGGTACCAAAAAAAAACCAAAAAAAAAAACCCAGACAAACAAAAAAATTAATGTTATTACACTGAGGGGAAAGGCTTTAGAGAGTACACAGGAGGCAGCATTTGGACTCCACTTTGGAGGAAGTCCTGAAACTCAGGACAGTCATGCTGGGAAAAGATGGAAGCCAAAAATTGTAAGAGGTTTGGGGGAAGAGAATTAGATGTAGCAAGGTTAGGAGGCAGAACACCGTTCCTTTGTGGGTATCTCCTTATTGCTGACCAGCCATGACTTCTCAGATTGGTCAGAATTATTCCACCTAGGTGGAGGCTGCTGTCAACTGCCTGGTAAATCTACACCTGCAGTCCTCCTACACCTACCTCTCTCTGGGCTACTACTTCATGACGATGTGGCTCTGGCGGGCGGGCGTGGGCCATTTCTTCAGTGAGCTGGCCAAGGAGAAACTCGAGGATGCCAAGCATCTCCTGAAGATGCAAAACCAGCTTGGAATCAGAGTGTTCTTCCAAGATGTGCAGAAACCTTCTGAAAATGAGTGGGGTAAAACCCTGGATGCCATGGAAGCTTCCCTGGCCCTGGAGAATAGCCTGAACCAAGCTCTTCTGGATCTTCATGCCTTGGGCTCTGCCAAGACAGACCGGCCCCCATCCCCTTGATTTCCTGGAGAACCACTTTCTAGATGAGGAGGTGAAGCTCATCAAAAAGATAAGCAATCACCTTACTAACCTCTACAGGCTGGGCTAAACAAGCACCTCTTCAAAAGGCTCACCCTCAAGCACAACTAGGAGGCAGGCCCTGGAGCCTGGCAGCCTCTGAGGGGCTCCTGCTCACCTGGTATCAGAGTTCTGGCCTAACCCTCTCCCTCCAGCTACTAGGTAGCTTTTTCACCTCTCTGGAGCTCCCTCCCAAGTCTTGGACCAAAAGAAAATAAAGCCTTTTGCAGCAAAAAAAAAAAAAGTGAGAATTTGTATGTAGAGTTCGTTCCAGTTGGAAAGTAAAACAGCCAGATTATAGAACTCCTCTTCCACCAGGCCAAGAGACTTTCACTTTATTCTGTAGTTAGCAAGAAAACCTGTTGACGTTTGTGATCACAGGAATAAGGTAAGGAACTGTTCTGAGAAGGGTAAGTGAAAGAGGGAAGGGAGACTCAAGGCAGAAAACAGGAAGCAGTGCCTGTGGGAAGGCAGTAGGGATAAGAGTAAGGTCATTGGAGAGGAGGCACCAAGCCTTTGTGAAACAGAGGGGTCTGCTGAGGAGAATTAGCTAAGTGCTGGAAAATGAGTTGAAACTGTGTGACCAGGAAGAGGCCCAAGGTGAAGAAGTAGAGTGGGAAGTGGGGTCACCCAGGTGCACTGTCAGTGTGTCCAGGTTCTCAAAGTGGTATTGATTTGCTGGGGTAAAACATGGAAAAACAGTTGCTTTGGGCACAATGAGTGGACAGAGGCAGAGGAAGCAACAGAATGAGCTGGAGCAGTGGCAGGAAGAGGCAGTCCCAGGAGAGGGCAGAGGCTGTAGCCATGGGGAGCATTGTCAAGGAGGTGGTGAGCAGTGTTGTTGGTGCTGCAGAGGCCACGTGGGAAAAGGACAAGTCAGGACATACAAGGGGATGGTGGAGACCTTCAGGGGAGGCCTTTGAGAGGCAGGACAGATGGAGGGAGGGGTGAGAGCAGTTTGAAGAGCCAGGGACCTCAAGGTGTTGGTCTCCGTGAAGAGGAAGTGAGAGGATTTGAAACTCCTGCCTTGAGGTGGGACAAGGAGGCACAGTTGGCTGCATTGTGAAACAGTGGTGGGGCCATAAACTGACAGGTTACGGAGCAGAGGTGATGGAACCAATTTGGTTTTTTGAGGGGTTTTTTCTCTTTCTCCATTTCCCTCACCTCACACTGCCATCAATTCTGAGGATGGAACTCGGCCTTTACACTGAGCTACATCCCCAGCCTTGGGGGGGGGGGGGGCGGGTCACACTAAATTGCCCAGGCTGAGCTTGAACTTGTGATCCTCCTGCATTGGGATTACAGGTGTGTGCCACCATGCCTAGCCAGTTAGTCCTTTTCTGACAGTTTCTATCCAGGACCTGGCTGCCCCATAGTCATTGCCTTTGCCTGAGACTTAGCAACAGTGGTGGAAAATACCAACGCTTCCTAGAGTTCATGAGAACATCTGTGAGCCTCAGTTTCCCCAGCACACAGAGAGGGTTGGCTTGGATGATCTCTAAAGGGTCCTTGCAGCTCAGGCTGACTGAAGTTCTATGAAATGGCTGACTGGGATCCAGCCCAAGTCGAGAGGGCCAGCCCACATAGAGGGGAGGATTAGTTGCCTAAAGATTTTGGCATTTGGGCTGGGGATTTAGCTCAGTGGTTTCGCCACTTGCTGTGCAAGCGCAAGGACCCGAGTTCGATCCCCGGTACCAAAAAAAAAAAAAAGATTTTGGCATTCAGGGTCTAGGTATGAGAGATAGGACTGGCAGGCCTAGGACTGGCAGGGTCCAGGGTCGTTTTGTCCATTTAAATCAGTCAACTTTCATGAGCCCCACTGCACACTCAACCCTCCAGCCACTTTATTTCACTGACTTTTTGTTATGTTTTGTTGTGAGACACTATGTAGCCCAGGCTGGCTTCAAACAGAGGATCCTTCTGCCTCAGCCTGCTAAGTGCTGGGATTACAGGTGTGTGCTACCACATCTGGCTACTATTTCATTGACTTTTTTTTTTTGGTACCAGGGATCGAACTTGGGACCTTGAGCTTTCAAGGCAGGCAGTGGCACCACTGAGTCAAATCCCCGGCCCTCATTGACTCTTATTTGCCCCTCAGAGCAGCACTGTGAGGGCAAAGACCATATTTTCACTGAGGAATTAGACGACTTGGCAGATACATACAGCTGAGTAACAAAGGGCCCAGAACTGACTATCTCCCATCCCAGGCTCTTTCCCCACTTTGACCTCTTCTTTGCTTGAGTCATTTCAGGCACTGCAGGTACACAGATCCTAAACTCAGCTACTTGCCTAATAACAAAAGTGACAGTAACAGGTCACTCTCCTGTTTGCTGGGCACCCTGCTAAGTTCTGTCCCCACATACAGGTCAGTACTTTCTCAGCCATTGGGAGAGAGAGACAGTTTTGCCTGGAGAAGCTAAGTTAACCTGGCCAAGATGACCCTGCTAGCAAGGGGCAGAGCCGAGCATGAGCCAGCCAGGCAGTCTCCTCTCCAGTCCGAAGCTCTGGCCATAGAAATCTCTCACCTCAGCCGCCACTGCCGCCGCCTCTCCCATCACAGCTCCTCTCTTCCTCCAATTTCCCGTCTTCTTAAAGGCCTCCTGGTTCTACTGGCCAGGGCCAGAGCCAGGGTTAGCGTCAAGCTGTTCTGCCTCCTCATTGGTGACATTGCCTGTCAGCTGCTGTGTTGTGAGGGATGTTGTGATGAGGGCAGGTCCAGGCCATAAGAGCGACCTATTTCCAGCAACCAAAAATCTTTAATCTCCAACTCAAACAGGAATCTTTTGTGTGACCCAGAGCTCAGCCCTTGGCTTCTCTTTCTGCAGTGTAGAGAAATTAAGAGTGCTCCAAAGCTCTGGATCTTCCAGAACCTTCCCTAAGAGAGGCTGGCAAGAGCCCATTCCATCTCCTGGCCAGTGTTCCTCTATATCTGTGGCAGTTGGATGACTGGTTATGTTGCCCTAAGGAGATGTCAGGCTCAGCCTGGACTCCTGCAACTTCCGGAGAAACCAAAATAAGCAACTTCTGGCCTTTCCCTGTCCCATCTAGACCTTCATTTTGATATAAGGGGAATAGATGTAACTCCCAAACCTACTAGATATTCAGTGTGCCAAGTTCATGTTCCCCAAAATTGAAAAATGAATTCTGAGGATCAACAGAGATTAAGAGTAGGAAAATTTATTGAGAGAGCTCCTGAGAGACAGGAGGGGACCCACAGACTATACTTAACAGCTTATAGAGCAAAATTAAGGAGTGGGTACAAGATGGGATAAAACTATGATCAACCAATAGGATTACAAGTATAGTTGCTTAGGTAATATTGATCCAGGGGAAGCAAGTCATACAGCAAGTCAAGGATGACATCCTTAACCTTGAATCCATAGTTTTAACCTTGTTTTCAGTAGTCTTAGTCTTAGTGAGTAGGAAAAGATGGCCCACCCTTAATGAGGAAATGGTTTATGAATGGATCTCAAAAGGGTGGTACTCAAGCTTTTGTTTATCTCTTAGAGGTATGTAGGCATTTCATCTTTATCTTGAAGCCTGGCATTCAATGTATGCACCTCTAGCCCTGTCTGATTGCCTATAAGTTTTCTACCTAACTTAGCTATCTATATCAATTTAATTATCAATTTAATCATCTGTAGCTTTCTTCCCTTGTGGTGCCTTGGACCTGGCATGGTGCAGAACCTGAAATGTCATGGTGCAGAACCTGTAAAGCTTCCTAAGCCTTCGCACTGCCCTGCTAGGCAGCCCCCCGACCCAGCCCAGTCATGGTTCCAGCCCTCCCAGCCGGCCTGCACCCCTGGCCAGTTCATCAGTCTAACCCAGTGATGGTGAACCTTTCAGAGCATTCAGCGGTACAAACAGCCCGCTGTGGTGTGCGTGGCCTAGGTTTACCACCACTACTCTAGGCTGTGACATATTAGCTACTCCTTTGGAATGTGCCTCTGTGCCAGTCTCTGTGCCATATGTCACACACATTATCTTAGTTTAACCTCCTCCACCGTTGTGAAGAAATGGGTTCAGAGAGCCTCTAGATCAGGCAGGCTCAGGGTCATAGACTGCTGGTAAGTCGTCCCCCACCCCACTGCCAGTACTGGGGATTGAATCCAAGGCCTTCACTCTGAATTATATCCCCAGCCCTTTTTTAATTTTTTATTGTGAGACTAGGTCTCATTGAATTGCTCAGAGTGGACTTAAACTTGAGATCTTCCTGCCTCAGCCTCCTGAGTGCTGGGATTATAGGCACGTGCCCATGCTTAGCTAAATCTGGGCCTCTCTGAATTTAACATTTCTTCTGTACTCAGAATGGCTTTGTTGGCCTGGGCTCTCCCATCAGATGCTTGTAGTCTGGGATTGCCACAGAGTTAAGAGCAAGGACCCTGGAGCTGAACATCCTGGAGTTCAAACTGCCAAGTGGCAGTAGGGGGTCTAGGCTTTTGTGATGACTAAACGAGCTAAGCCCTGCAGAACCCAAAACAGTGCCTGCCTGACTTTGGGGTGGGAGTGATTATCGACACTGCTCTGGCCTGAGGCACTCTCAACTCCCCTCAGCCCCCCATTGCCTCCCGCAGCACAGACTGCCCACAACTCCTGCGCTTGGATGTCCCACTGCAGACTCAGTGAGTTTGCCACAATGAGCAGCAGTGGCTGTGGGCACAGGGTCCACCTGAGCCCAGTGCTGTGTGCCCAGCATGCCTGGGCCCATGGGTGAGGCCCAGGTGTGTGGGAGGGAGGGTGTCTGGCACCCAGCATAGTGCCCTGAGCACAGCAGCACCTGGAAGAAGCTGGCCCTGGTCCAGCTGTGTGGCTACCCTGGCCCCACGGGTTCCCAGGAGTCTGTGAGGGTCTGGGATTCAGTACCCAGGGCTGTGGCCCGGCATGAATGAGTTTTTTAAAGCTGCTTTTGTGCCTGGAATAAATGGGCACAGGGGACTTATGCCAGGGATATGAGCCCCTCCTCACTGAGTCAGCAGAAACCAAGGACTCAGATTGGAATAACCATGACACTAAGGGTGCCAGTGAATGCCCCGTGTAGACCCCAAACATTAAAGTAGGACAGTTGACATGGCCAGCATTTGGAAGATGTACCAGTCAGTAGCAAGGAACACAGCAGGTTATTTTTCCTGAGTCTCACACTCCCTGGCCCCCTGGGGCAAACTTGTTTCCCTTATTCCTCCTCACTGCTAAGTGAAGGCCTCCGGGAATTATGAGGGCCTTTGTATGAATGCCCTGCAGCTGCAGGAGGGGAGAGTCTCTTTCAGAACATGCTTAGACACTTAGCTTCTAGCCAAGCGTGGTGGCGTACACATGTGATCCCAGCACTCAGGAGGCTGAGGCAGGAGGGTCACTTCAAGTTATAGGCTGCATAGTGAATAACAGGCCACTCTGAACTATACAGTAAGACCCCATCCAAAAAAAAAAAAAAAAGCCATATGTCATTACCACAACTATGCACCTAATAAAGGAAATGAGGGTAAATTTTATGTTGTTTTTTATCACAATGTGGAAAAAACTATCCTGTCCTGAATTAAAAGGGAATAATACTATTAAATCTAAACTAGGAACATTAAACTGTTTTATAACTCTGATGTACTATGTTAATAAACAATTACATTGAACAGCATAATTTAAGCTAAGAAACATTAAAATTAGCCAGATATCAATTTCATCAGTTTTGTACTACTAATTTAATCTTTTTTTTTTTTTGGTACCAGGGATCGAACTCCAGTCCTTGCCTCTTGTGAGGCAGGCACTGGAACCACTGAGCTAAATCCTGGCCCCTACTAATAATTTAATCTTAAAGCATTTTAAAGACCAAGGATGAAAATAAAAAAACAACAGGGGTTAGTACAAGGGACTGGATATTTTAGATATTCCAGTGGTAGAGTGCAGAAAAGAAGTATATAGGGCAGGGATTTAGCTCTGGTTCCATGCTGGCCTGGCAAGCGCAAAGTCTTGAGTTTGGTCCCTGGTACTAAAAAGAAAAAGAAGAATATATAGATTTGAATGAGTTCAGTGGAAAAAAAATGGATTCATAAAAAAAAAAAAGCAACATAAAAAGCACTATATTGAAAGAAATAAAGTAGAATTAAATGAACTCTGAATCAAATACTGCAGGGTTTATTAATAAAACCCAAGTGTGTGTCTGAAAAATTATTTAAAAATCAAAGAGGGTCCAGGATTTAGCTCAGCGGCACAGTGCCTACCTCGCAAGCATAGGGTCCTTAGTTCAATCCCTGGTACCGAAAAAAGAAAAATTATCAGAATGTCAAAATTGTGTTTAGATTTATGAAAAGAATATATATACATGCACATGATATCTGAAAAACAAGGCAATTGTTTCACACTCACCCATGAATTATGTGTGTTTACTTTTAATTCTATTAATAAATTAATACTGCTAAGGTGGGGGAAAAAGATCTGTAGCCTTCCTATCCCCAGGACTCTGGCTCCCTAGAGAGTGGGTGACTCAACCCAGTGCCACAGGCCCAGTTGGGGAAAGGCTGAGCCAGCGGCCTTCCTGGAGGGGAGCAGCCGGTGCAGGGGCCCAGCCGCCCCAGAGCTTTGTCGTGAAGGAGCCCTCAAGGATTTTCTTGCTTTCCACAGCTCTGATCGAGTCCCTCAACCAGAAGCCACAGTCTGCTGGTGAGCAAGCCCATCCCACAGATACAACCTACAAGAAAGCAGGAGGGAGCGATGCCCCCTCGGCCAACGGCGAAGCAGGAGGAGGAGGAGGAGGAGGAGGAGGAGGAGGAGAGAGCAAAGGCTATACTGCAGAACAAGTGGCAGCTGTGAAAAGGTGGGGCCAGGCCTGGGCCAAGCATCCGGGGGCAATCTGGAGGTTTCCCACTGTGCAGCCCCCTTGCCTGTGGCCGATGGGCCTGTCAGGGACCTGGAGGATGGAAAGGGAGGTCTGGCTCATTTCCCACAAGGCCCTGGGATATGGTGCAGGAAGCAGGGCCCCACTGTCCACCCCCCACAAGACAGCGCACCACAGAGGCAGGAAACCCTGACACCGCCGCTGTCCTCTGCCACTGGCCAGGCGGGCCCCAGGCCTCTACACAGCTGTTTGTCAGTCAGAGATGAGCGTGGTCTGGCCCTCCAGAGTCCCCCAGCCCACACCCCCAACAAAGCCCCTTTCAGCCCAGAGCCTGCAGGGCAGAGTGGAGATAGGAGGCTGAGGCAGGCCCTGCAAGGAGCAGCTTACTACCAGGCCGGAGGCAATCAGGTCAGAGCTTCTCAGGACTAGACTGTCCCTGCCAGCTAGCCTCGAGGACACTCCAAGGGCAGGTCACACTCCCATCTCCTGCCAAGCTTCAGGACCAGGGTCATCAGCTTTGTGACCAAGTGGCGGTGGTAGTTTACCAGGCAAGCCCAGTATTTGTTGATGATAGGAACTTTGTAAAAGAGCTTTGGAAGGCCAAGAACCAGGACCCAAAAGTAAGAATTGGTGGAGGGGAGCCAGGGTTTCTCACAGCTCTGTGCTTGGGGTGAACACACACCTGCCATTTCCAGCCCTTATGTTACCCACTCAAGACTCAGGTTGCCAGGAAGAAGTACAGTTGGGTGAACTCAGGACACACCTGCCCGTGATGATGGACAGCGACAGTCCTTCCGAGCTTGCCTCCCAAGAGCAGAGGGGAATGGGTGCTAGCCTGGCCAAAGGCAGCGGCTGCCCTCTTAAACCCTAAATGTGTTCCTGGTGTTTGCCCTGGGCCCTGTCCAGCCCCCCATCCCAGTTGGAGCTCACTGTGGCTCCTTTGTCCCTGACCCCAGAAGAGCAGTCAGCCATGCCTCGCTGGTGCTCTGCATAAGGCGCCCCTCCCACGCCCTTCTCGCCACTCAGGGTCAAGCAGTGTAAGGATTACTACGAGATCCTGGGGGTGAGCAGAGCAGCTTCAGATGAGGACCTGAAGAAGGCCTACCGAAAACTGGCCCTCAAATTCCACCCAGACAAGAACGATGCACCTGGTGCCACAGAAGCTTTCAAAGGTGAGCGGCCCTAGCATCCTGGCATCATGGGGCTTTTATCTCCTGTCCTTGCCATGCAGGGCCAACAGCTTTCCCAGGGAGTGGGACCTGCAGGAAGTGGTCTCAGGCCCAGGTCCACAGGCTCGGGTTTTACTTCCCAAGGTCATAGTGGCCACCTCCAGCCATGTAGTCAGCCTGTCAGAGCTCACACAGTGCCACTCCGGCCCCCCTTCCTCCTCATTCCTGGTGCTCTAGGAGGGGCCTGAGGCAAAAGATGTCTAGTAGCTCTTCAGTCACACAGTGCCTGGGGCAGGAGCAGCCTCCTGACGTGCACATGGTAAGCGTTCTGCTGTGCTGAGGGACAGAGCGGCCTGCACTCAGGTGCTTCTGGTCTGGCAGCCTCCTGTGAGCCAGCAGCCGCAGCCAGCTGCCCCAGCATAGTCTGCACCTCTGGGCCGCAGTGGGGACATGGCAGTCTCTGGCCTTGGGTACAGCCCTTCTGGCCCAGATCAAGCCACCCTTATTCATTTAGCCTTCCACTCACCCTCTCAGGCACACATGTGCACTGATTCCATGCCAGCCCCATGTTGCAGTTTCTCATTCCCACCTTGTCTCTGGGGACAGCATGGTGACTGGCACCACCAGGCCTGGGCATCATGCTGTGCAGTACTAGGACCAAGCAGCCCCGAGGACCTGGTGCTGCCCCAGAGGGAGGAGGAGAATGGTACAGGGGGCAGGACAGCTGTGGGTAACGTACCTCCTGCAGCCTGCCCAACTGGACCCGGAGGCTGGAGGTGACAGTGACGACTTGTCAGGCTGTGAGGCAGATGTAGCTATGAACAAGGGAGCAGCTTGTGGAGGAGCTGGAGACAGGAAGACTCAGAGCTGGTGGCCTTGGGGACATGGGCTCCCTGCCCAGGGAGCTCTGGAGGGGAGGCCACAGGGCAGGTAGGAAACAGCAGCTGGGGCCTGAACCCCAGGGAGGAGGGGACTCACCATGGCCGCACCACCAGCCAGAGTCTTGACCAGAAACCGAGGATCAGCCCTTCCCACCAGTCCTTGCCAGCTTCTAATCTTACAACAAAGACCTCATGTGTCTGTCCCAAGTTCTGTCTTCAAGTTCTGTTTCCACCAGGAAGGGATGTCCCATCCCTTTGTGCATCTCAAGAGAGGAATGAGGAAAGGCCTTTGGTGGCTTCCATAATGTCAGCTAGAAAGCTTGAAGCAAGGTATGCCTGGGTTTGATCCCCAGCCCTGCAGCCTCAGAGACCAGTGGGTTTCCTAAGTCCCTTGTCTCCTCCAGCCTGAGTACTCCCCTAGATGAAATGATATCAAGGTTGTTGTTAGGAGCAACTGAGACCATACCAGCAGGGCCTGCCACACGGTGTGGAAGGGCAGCCAGGAGCCAAGGCTTAGCCCTCCAGCAGCCCAGGCTGCCAGACTCATGGGGCTCTTCCTGCACTCGCCTGCCCTTCTCGCAGGCCCCAAGGACCCCTGGGCCCCACAGCAGACCTGAGCTGAAGGCCAGCACTAGCCTCTTGGGCCTGACCTTTCTGTCCCCTTTCCAGCCATTGGCACAGCATATGCAGTACTTAGCAACCCGGAGAAAAGGAAACAGTATGACCAATTTGGTGACGACAAGGGCCAGGCTGCCCGGCATGGCCATGGGCACGGGGACTTCCACCGTGGCTTCGAGGCCGACATCTCCCCTGAAGACCTCTTCAACATGTTCTTTGGCGGTGGCTTTCCTTCTAGTAAGTCCCTCACCCTCCCACAGCCACGTCTCCCCAGGGATGCTGAGGGACTGGGTGCCAGCCTCTTTTCCAGCAGCCCCCACCCTCACTCAGTCCCTCTGACCCCCAGGTAACGTCCATGTCTACAGCAATGGCCGCATGCGCTACACCTACCAGCAAAGGCAGGACCGCAGGGACAACCAGGGTGACGTGAGTGAAGAAGGGGCTGGCAAGAACAGGGGAGGGCACCAAGCCCACCCCAGGGTGCGGGGCCTGGAGGAGGCAGTGACACCCCACACTGTCCCTTCTGGGACCAGCAGTGCCTCACAACTCTCCTCCAAGAGCCATCTTGGCTCCCACTTGCCATTCTGCTGCGGGACACCAGAGGGAGGCACACTCCACATTGCTGGCGGGATTTGCTGGCCTCTGCTGGGAACTAAGGCAGAAACTGCTCCACCTACAGTTTCCCAGGTGCCTAGCGTTTGTGCAGTCTGTTGGTAAGGCGAAAGTGACATTTTCCAAGCAATGGAGAGTTAAACTTGCTGAGAATTATAAAGAATGCCAACAAAGGTGCTTTTTAGCACTCTCAAAAAATGTACGCAGGAACTATAAACCGAGCTTCTAACACTTTTCTTTTTTGGCTTGTGGTACTGGGTATCAAACCCAGGGGTGCTACTACCATGGAGCTGCTACAGCTCAGCTTTTTTTTTTTAAAGATAGAGTCTGGCTAAATTGCCCAGGTGGGACTCAAACTTCAATCCTCCTGCCTCATCCTCCCTAGGTGCTGGGATTCCAGGCCTGTGCTGCCACCCCTGACTCAAACATTTTTCAAGCCACAGACCAACAGCCACCCAGCTGGCTGACGTTAAAATATTGTGAAACATTTAAAATGCTGGCGGCAAAAGGTCTTGTGCTCTGACAGCATTTATTTGTTCATTTCTTTAAAACCTTTATTTTGGGGCCGGGAATTTAGCTCAGTGGTTCCAGTGCCTGCCTTGCAAGTACAAGGTCCCGAGTTCGATCCCTGGTACCAAAACCAAAAACCTTTATTTTGTATTTAACATACAGGAGAGTTTTTGGAATCAAATTATCACACAGTGAATTTATTAATTCTTACTTCTAGTTTGGTTTTTATTTTGTTTTTCCAGTGCTAGGGATTGAACCTAGGTCCCATGCTAAGTTTGCTCTGCCACTGAGCTACACCCCAGCCCTATTTCTCATTTTTTAATCGGTAGTGTATTTGTATGGTTCAAAACTCAGAAACGGATGCACAGAGAAAGCCTCCCCGCAGCCCTGCCCTGTGCTGGAGCGGCCACTACTATGGCTGTGTGGTTTTCTCTCAAGTAGACCCACACCCTGCTTCCACCAGCGGTGCTGTTTTACCCGGGAAACCTGGCGGGTGGAGCAGCTTCTGTCCAGAAACGAAGGGAGAGTGTGGTGTCTGGAACACCCAGGCTGTGCTGTGCCGAGGCCCAGGTGGCAGGCGTGGGCAGCCAGGTGATGTTGGCTCTCCCTCCAGGGCGGGCTAGGGGTATTTGTGCAGCTGATGCCCATCCTCATCCTGATCCTCGTGTCAGCTCTCAGCCAGCTCATGGTCTCCAGTCCACCCTACAGTCTGAGCCCAAGACCGTGAGTACCTGCTCTGAGGGCTGGGTCAGGGCAGCAGGCAGCCCGGGGCTTTGGAACCTCAACCTCACTGGGGACCTTCTTTCCCAGCCAGATGGATCTAGCAGGTTCCTGAACATAATACAGGGAGCCAGCTTAGAGTGAAGAAAATAGGGGGCCAGGGATTTGACTCAGTGGTTCCGCCACCCACCTTGCAAGTGCAAGGTCCCAAGTTCGATCCCCAGTACCAGAAAAAAAAAAAAAAGGAAATACACAGACTGAATCACAAGTGGTGGTGCACACCTGTAATCCCAGTGGCTCAGGAGCCTGAGGGAGGAGGGTTGTAAGTTTGAGCCCAGCCTGGGCTACATAATGATTTAGTGAGACTCTGTCTCAAAATAAAAAATAATAAAAGGGCTGAGGATGTAGCTCAGTGTGAAGACCCTGGAATCTTTCCCTAGTATCAGAAGATAGAAGGGAAGGAGGAAGAGGAGAGGGGAGGGGAGCAAAAAGAAGGGGAAAGGGAAAAGGAACAGAAATAGTAACGGGAAAAGGAGAAACAGTCTGTTGAGCTGAGCCTCTTAATCTTTTTAGGATATACCCCCATAAGAAAATGCAGTGTAACCTGCGGCCCTTTCCCTAGAACAGGGCACACACTATTTTGCATGGGATTTCAGAGGTTCCAAAACTCCCTCCTACTCCTGCCTTATTTGCTGACCCTTAAGTCAGCCTCTGCTCTTACATTCTGGTTAAGGAGCTGGGGAATGGCTCAGCAGTACAGCGCTTGTGTGAGGCCCTGGGTTCGATCCACAGCTCTGCCAAAAAAGAAGACCTGGGGCCCTGAGACCTAGGAAGAACATTGGCTCTAGAATGAGAGCCAGGGTAGCTCTGAACCCCAGCTTCTCCAAGAAGCTGTGACCTTAGGCAAGGTGCATAACCTTGGTTTCCTCAGCTATAAAATAGGAATAATAAGGTCCACATGCTAGTGAAAATTAATGGGTAATGCATTTGAAATGTGTGGCTCATTAGAAATGCTCCACGGTATTTGCTGAATAAAGACTTGGTCTCAGCAGCCAGTAGTGAACCTGGACAAATTAGTTGATCCTTTGTCAGCTTCCTTCCCTTGCAGTGCCTGGCACAGCATCTGATACATAGTGGGTGCTCAGCTTCCCTTCCTGGAAGCCCCTGCAGCTGCCTGCTGGGAGAGGGGGACTGGCAGGCTGCTTTGCAACCAGCAGGGGGCAGAGTTGGCCCACTGGACCCACAGCATCACCAGCCTCTCTGGCCCAGTGCCAGCCCCTTTCCCTTCAAGTAGAGAGATGAGGGGCAGCATGGCTGGTGGCAGACAGCTCTTCCTGGATGGGCTGGCTGGGGACCATCCTTCCCGGAGTGGTGGCTCTGTATGGATGTTGAGGCTCTCCCAATCCTGCAGAGGCTGCAGTTGAAGCTGGAAGCATGCAGTTTCCTGGAATCTCTCAGGAAGTTTTCTCCTTTTTTTAGTGCTGAGGATCAAACCCAAGGCTTTATGCATGCTCTGCACATGCTCTGTTCCTTGGCCACACCCCAGCCCTGTCATTTTTGTCCCTGTGGCTCTTCACTGTAGCCGAGGAGCTCCTGGAGAGGCAGGCAGGCCCTCAGCATGGGTGAACTTAGGGGATGGATGCGGAAATGGAAGCACAGGAGACAGAGCCCACCCTCCCTCTGGGTCCCCAACTCCCAGACAAGGGCCTCTTCTCTGACAGGGCTTCTCAAAAGCCCCTGCATCAGTGGTGCAGTAGCAGAATGGCTGGGCCGCTGTGCAACAGGGACAGTCTTTGCCACAGACCTTCATGTTGGGTGGTGTGGGAAGGAACCAGCCATGCCTGTGCTTGTGTGCCACCTCCCATCATGAGGCCTGTCACCCATCCAGCTGCCCTGGGCCTAGGCACCCAGGCACACTTTATACCTTGTATGCTTTCCGGTCAGGTCGGTGGGCCATGTCCACAGGCGAGTCACTGACCACCTGAGTGTCATCTACTACGTGGCAGACACCTTCTCAGAAGAGTACACAGGTGCCAGCCTCAAGACAGTTGAACGGAATGTAGAAGATGATTACATCGCCAATCTCCGAAACAACTGCTGGAAGGAAAAGCAGCAAAGTGAGTGAATGTGTGTGTGTGTATGGTGTTTGGGAGGGTGGCCAGAGACCAAACTTGAGGAACAGGAAAAAGAGAAAGCCCTACTCACTCAGTGTTCTGTGGGTCCAGCAGCTGGCACTGCCCTGTGCCAGCCCAGGCTACCTGTGATTTCCCCCAGGTCCCCATAAATTGCTACAGCCAGCCTGTTATTTTGGTGGCCAGGGGAGAGTATGTAGAGACGGATTGGAGATCTCTGGCCACCCACTGGTTGTGCACCTGGGCCTACAAGAAGGGGCCTGGATCATCCCTCTCCCAAAGGGGCACCATAGTCTTTGCTCCTACGGGGTCTTGCCTCTTGGGGGCCAGCTTGCCCAAGCTCCGGCCTCTTCCAGCCTTCCTCCACCTGCCTCCTCCTCCCCGCTCAGGCACAGGCAGGCCTCCTGGCAGGCTTCAGGAGGCATGATTGTGCCTAGCCTTGCCCCGTTGCTTTGCAGAGGAAGGCTTGCTATACCGGGCCCGCTACTTCGGTGACACAGACATGTACCACAGAGCACAGAAGATGGGCACTCCGAGCTGCAGCCGGCTGTCAGAGGTGCAGGCCTCCCTGCATGGATAGTCCTGGGCCATCCACGCCAGCCAGGTCCAAGTATGAGCCAGGGCTGCCGCTGTCCTGCAACTCCTGGCAGCTTTGGCTGTGGTCATGAGGCAAGGGAGGGAGGAAGGATGCCTGATGATGATGTCCCCAGTCTCACCCCCAACCTCCAGAGGAAGGGCAGCTCCAGGGCCGACATGGAGACAGATTGATCACAGCCCCAAGTCTAGTCTCTGCCACTACCGCACCCTGCACCCTTCCCGGCTCTTGGGCTGTGGGTGCCCGAGAGCCAGATACGGGGGACCCCACCGCTGTTGCTGGGTCCCCTCCACTCCAGCCGTCATGCCACCGCAGCCCTTTCCTGTGCAAAGCTGACTGTGGTCTGTGCCGCCAGACACTGCTGGGCCCAAGACAGACCCCACACACAGGACCGACTGCTACCAGGAAGAGCTGTGGAGCGGGTGGGCCAAGAGCGCTCCCCTCCTACATCCTTCCAGGCTGGAGGACTGAGGACCAGATGATGGGCCGGCCAACAGGGCAGGAGAGCCTGCGGCTGCTCTTGAGCAGGGTGTGGGGTGCGCTCCAGAGCCACTGCACCTGGCAACTGGGAAGCCACAGGCATCCGGCCTCGCCCTGGCATCTTGCCTGTGGTCTGAGGAAGGGAACAGAAGGTCACGAGTTCATAGTCAGACGAAGCCACTCGGCACAGAAGGGGTGGGGAAAAAAATGAAAGTGTCTGGGAGTGGGTACCCTGCCTCCCTGCTGCTGCAGCTGGGTAGTGAGTGGGCTGTGTTCCTGGTGCCCCAGAGCAGTGTGGGCAGAGCTGGTGGGGCTGTCTGCATTGGTACCCTGCCCACCTCCTCCCTCGGCCTGGGTCCCCTGGGCTCCGATCCAACTGCAGAGCGGGTGAGTGGGCTGCTGTTTGTGTGGCTAAGCTGGAGGCGGAGGGCCGAGACCTCCCAGCTAACTGTACCCACTTTCCTCCCCAGACTATGAAATCCCTGGAGAATTTCTGGTGACACTCACTGAGCCAAGGTGACGGACTGTATATTTAAGGAAAGACACACAAAGACAAAAAAATTAAAATGGAATTGGAGGCCGAACACCGCACAACTGCCCTCTCTCTCGCCCAGTACATGCAGAAAGCTCTTAGGACAGACAGAAAACCTGCCACGGGGCTGCTTCCCTCCCTGCCTCCCAGGGCTGACAGAGGCTGTGCATCGCTCTCTCCTAGGATACAGAAACCATGGCAACGAAAGTAGAATGTAAAACTTGCAGTGGAGGGCTGGGGGAGGGGCCGCCCAGCTGACTCTCTAATCTCCAGGACCCCCTCCCAGTCACCTGCAGGAGGAGCCAGGCAGAGGGGCTGGCCCAGGATAGAGAGGAGGAGAAAGAATCTGTAGAATGTAACTTGAAGATGAGTGTGATGTATATATATCTATTTATATGTAAATAGGCATATATAAAGATATATAGAGAGTCTACTTTTTAAACTATGCACCAATTGGGTTAAGTTGTTCAGCTGGTTGCTTCCATGTTAGAAAATGAGGCCTGTTGGGGAAGGTAGCCTGGTCCTTCCAAAGCTAGGCATTAGCCATAGCTGACAGCATAAGAAAAGACAGGTCATGTGCTTTTAGTGTCCCCTCTCCCCCCAGTGCCAGCTTGTTTTGGATGGCAACAGTAATCATGATAAATTTGTAGAAGACTTCTGGAGGATGCCAGCTTTTTAGTTAAGCTGCAGAAGAAGCGGGCCGTTGGGGGAGAAAGGGCCCCAGAGGCAGGTACCAGGTCAGTATTGAGCCATGGTACTGGGCAGAGGACACCCATGCCAGCTGCTGCCCCCATGGCCAGCTCTTTGTCCTGGTCCCCAGAAGCCTTGAAGCCAGCACCTTGCCCAGCACACTTTAGCAAGGGGCCAGGTTCTGCCAAACACTCCCCCACCCTAGTGCCCTAGTGGGTTTGCCTTAGCGGTGCAGCAGGGCACAGTTCCATCAATGCCACTGGTTTTCCTAAGTCGTGTACCAAGGACTCCAGAAGGCTCTTCCTCCGGAATCAGCCCAGAACCACAGGGCAGCGCTTGACTCGTGAAGAAAAGTCCATGCCTGTGGCACCTCTGTCATTGCCCGCCATGGACATGACCACCAGGCCTTGACGAAGGGTGCACCTGAACCAGAATTTTTTTTTTTTTTTAACCCTCCCCTTCAAATGAGGATTTGTCTCAGAGCAGCAGTTGCTGCCAGGGAGTGTGGAGAAGTTTTATTTTTTCCCATGTTTATACTGGGTCTTTTGGAATTGCCATTTTTCCAGAGTTCCTCCATGGCGGTGGGTGTGGTGTGGAGCCCGCCGTTTCCAAAGCCTTACTCGCTAAGCTGCCAGCCACAAGGTGGTAACCGTCCTCCCAGAGTTTCTCTTGGGTCTTTTTCACAAAGTCCCCCAACAAATAGGAATCTTGTTGGGAAAAGAAGTTTGGTAAGGAAATGCCAAATCTGGTTTTTAAACAAGGTCACACCCTGCAATGAAGTGGCCGTCCCAGCCAGAGATCACAAGAACTGGACAGTGGCCAGAGTGCCACACCTGCGGTGGCCCTGGTGTTCTGCCACAACACCCAACTGTCTGGTCCTGGTTGCTGTGCTTAGATGGGCTGAGCCATGTGCAATAACATAGATCCTAAAGGATCCCCTAAGAAGCTGTATTTCTTGAATTAGAATCCTGAAATTGTGTATCTATAAATACATGTTTATTATGTGATTGGCTGTGGTAGGTCCGAGCTGAGCAAGGTGGTTGGGGAGGGGGACAGGCACCTGTTGCTACTGTCACTGCCTGGCCCATGCCACAGTGTAAGCCTGGCTGCCTCAGCCCTGTCCCAGGCTGACAGCCACCAAAGTCACAAGTTCTGTGCCCCGCCTGCTCCATCTGGACAAAGGGGAAGGGGCTCAGGTGGCTCTTAGGTGCGGGTGTGGGTGCAGGGCCAGGGTCCCTGACACCAGGCCTGAGTGGGCACCTGTCCCAGGCCCTACTCCCCCTGACCTGTCTGCCTCACTGCAAACCTGAGCAAAGCACAGCCCATATCTCCCCAGCCTGGGCTCAGCCCACTCCCAATCCAGGCTGTGGAAAAGTCCCAAGTTTCTGTCTCATCTCTAGCTGCATAGTCTTCCCAGCGTCTTCCCTCAAACCCCACAGCCAACCTCCCTCCCCAGGAGGTCAGCAAAGTTAGAACCGAGCTGGTGACAGCGGCAGATCTTCCCTGGGCGCCCTGGAGACAGGGCCGGCAGCCCTGACTGGCAGGCCCAGGCCCCTCCCGCTACCGCAATGACCAAAGACAGGCGGGCTGCCCGGTGGTGCCACTGCAGCCCTGGAGCTCATTGGCTGTCACCGCAGCCTTCCCACCCCCATCTGCGTGCAACCACTTGTTAACTGCAGTTGGCAAAGAGGCCTTGCCAGGCACCCTCCCACAGGCACCTAGCCCATCCCTTGCCCTTACTGGGATCAAGGGATCGCTGGGAGAGCCAGAAAGGGTGGGACCTGACCCCTCTGTTTGCAGCCAAAAAGAAGCTTTGACAAGTTTGTCCCACGCACTGTCAGGTGGCAAAGCAAGCTGCACTTCCATCCCAGCTCCAGGCCCATCTGCGTCTCTCCTTGTCCTGTGTACATTCCTCAAGGTCCAGGCGAGGAACTGCTCCCAGGTCCGAGGAGTGCACTCCTGGCCCCACTGTGACCCGGCAGTCACCTGGCTGTGTAGGGCAGGGGTACACAACACCAAGACTGTTGGCACAGAGCCAGTTCTGCAGTGACTGAGATCCCTGCCAGACCTTGTCCATGTGACACAGTGACATCAAGTCAGCCCATTTCCCAGAGCAGGAAACAGGCTTGGGGGAGCAAAGGTGACCCCCAAGAGCCTGGACTTTGGGGTCCCACAAATGATCATCTACAGATGTTTCCTGTGCCTGCATTTACTGTGCTGAAGGTGATCAGACCCTCTCTTCCATGCAGAGTGGGGGACCCACGTCCTGGAGGGATGATGAGCTTGAAATGGCCACGCTGAGGCCAACGGGACTTGGTCTGTGGATGAGCTTCATTCAAGCCATGTCTCTCCTGGCATCCAATGACAGAGTGTCACCCTGCTGTCATACCAAGGGCCACCCTTGGGTGCCAGCCTGGGCTCAATCCTGGCTTGGCCATTTAGTGGCTGGGTGACCTTGAGCATGTCACCTAACCTCCCTCTGCCTCGGTGTCGTCATCTGCAAAATGAGAGCGACACAAATGCCTGCCTGTGTGGTGGCTGTGAGGAGTGGAAGTTACCAAGCTCATCCTCGCCTGCCACAAAGTACCCTGTTTTCAAGGGTTACCTGTCCTGTCAACAGTAACTGACACGAGGTGCCAGGTCCCATTCCAGGCAGTGAACCTGGGAGGGACAGAGGAAACAGATGGGGAGGGGATGAGAGTGACGGCCCGCGGGCAGAGGCTGCTGGAAACCTGCCAGGGGGGGTGTGGCAGGTACAGGGCAGGGGCTCGGGCCAGGGCTCTGGATAAAGGGGCAGTGGCATGAGAAGGAATGAAGGGCTGGAGCAGAGACCTGGTGGAGGGAGTACAAACTCAAACACAGCTGGAGAGCAGCACACAGGCCAGACCCTATCCATTTTTTTATAAACAGTGATTACACTGACCATGGGGAGTCGGCACACGGACCCGAAACCTCTTAATTCTTTTTATGTCCCCTTCCTCTTCCCCTTCCTCCCCACTGCCTCCATCTCTTGGTCCTCTTCCCCTTTGCAAAAGATCTATCTTCCTGTTTCCTATATGTAACTTAGGGCCAGTCCCCAATCTACAGTTGTTACCAGGCCAGTCACACCAGTGGCCTTGGGCAGAGAACTCCACTGTGAAAGACTGAGCCTCTCCAGTCCCACCTGTACCCTGGCCACACCATCATCCTTGGGAAGCACCTCTGAGTCATCCCTGTGCCTTCACTGCCACCTGGGAAGTCATAAGAGAAGAAGAGGGAGTGGGGGCAAACTGCAAACCAAGTGTCACCCCCCCAACCCTCATAAAGCTCTGCAAGGCCACATGGCATCGAGGAGGCTGGGGGTATTCGTGTCATTGTCCCACTGTGTCCTCCCCCTGGGGAGAGGCAGAGGTGTGTCATGTCCATCTTGGGCAGGGCTACAGGCCAGGGCCTGGACACAGTGGGGAGGAGACCCAGGAAGGAATAAGGCTGAAGACAAAGGGGCCTCTCACGGCCCCTTGCAGCTGCCCCTCTGCAGCTTTCTCAGCCTCGCCAGTTCCTCTGCCAGGGTCACGGCTCTACAGCCATCAGCCTGCACTCCCACACCTTCAAGGCCTCAGACCCAGGCCACCAGGCCCAGATATGCCCCGCTTGGGGAGAAGGGCCAGCTGGATGGTGTGGGTAGCTTGAGTCATGGGACAAGCACGGAACGGGGCCTTTTTCTTTTTCCCCAACCTCTGGGGAAAGCACAGTCCTGCTGAAATGCCCCACAGCTCCTCTCTCAGGTGCCAATATGACAGTCACAAATAGCAGCCATGTCTGTAATCCCAGCACTCGGGAGGCTGAGGCAGGAGGATCACCAAAAGTTCAAGGCCAGCCTGGGCTACATAGTGATTTCAAGACCAGACTGGGCTACATAGCAAGACCCTGTCTCAAAAACAAAACAAAACAAAAAATAGTGGCCATGGAGGGATCCTTGGCTCCGGTCACTAAGGTCCCCACCCTAAGGAGTAAAAGACAGATTCCAACACATAGCCTGGTGCCACGTGGCACCACTCACTTCTGCTGTTAGACACAGTTCTGTCCTCAGCCGTCCAGTGCTGCCCTGGTCACCAGCAGGGGGGTGGGGACCTCCCGCAGGCTTTGCATAGCCCTGTGTGCTGAGCATGGCATCCCACACCTGAAACTCTGCAGCCAGTCAGATGTCAACCCTGCCACCACCCACCCTGCAAGTGTCACACACACAGCTATGGTGTCTGGGTGTCTGGCCTGTGCGGCTGCCAGGAGTGCTCAGTGCCTCTCCCTGACGTCTAGGACCTCAGTCTCTCTCTGGCCCCTTCTGGACACCAAAGCACTGGGCACAAAGTCTGCACAGAGATCAGGGTTCCAC